CTGACTAGCATATATACTTTAAGCAGACTACCCCAGACATAAGGAGAGGTACTATGAGGAGAGAGAGAGAGAGAGAGAGAGAGAGAGAGAGAGAGAGAGAGAGAGAGAGAGAGAGAGAGAAGAGAGAGAGAGAAGGGGTGAGAGAGAGAGAGAAGTGTGAGAGAGAGAGAGAAGAGAGAAGAGAGAGAGGAGAGAGAGTGAAGGGGTGAGAGAGAGAGAGAGAGAGAGAGAGAGAGAGAGAGAGAGAGAGGAGAGAGAGAGGTGTCAGGGACTGCACAAGATTGACAGAATCAGGAACTACTGAGACTTTCAAAAAAGTCAAGAAGGTTATTAGGACATTGGTGCAAGGTGCCCTTCAGGGCAGGAGAAAAATCTTTGGGTTACAGATAGGCTTCCTCACTGAGGATTCCTTGGGGAGTAGAGGAGAGGAATAGAGACAGGAGCAAGTGTCCCATAAACCTAGCCAATCTGTAGTGATTTTAGGATAAAACATATTCATTCTATGCTTATGTAATTAATACTATCTTATTTTTTCCCTTTAGTAAAAAAGAAAAGCTCCTTTAATAACTAAAAAAAAAAATCTGAACTTCATCCTGGCAGAATTAAGTAGGACAAAAATCGCTACTTAGCCCAAGAGAACAAGAGGAATCAGGGACACCCATCATAGTTAGACATAGTAGTGGCAACAGCCACAGCTTCTTCAACACCTGGAACTAAGCTGTGTGACCTGGGGGCTGTTAGAAAGGTAGGAATTTAGGCTCAGGAGAGGCAGAGATTATGAATTGTGATAGTAGATGCCAGGGTTTCCCCCTTGCAGAGCCTATGTGCAGCCTTCTGAATTTATCCCTGTTAAATTTCATTGTGTTGGTTTCAGACAGTGTTCCGGCCTGTTGAGAGCATTTTGAATCTTTATCCTAACATCTATCATATTAACCATTCCTCCTAGCTTCATGTCTTCTGCAAATTCGATAAGCATATTTTCTATGTCTTTATCCAAGGCACTGATAGGAATGTTGAAAAGGACAGGGCTAAGGACAGGGCCCTGTGGTATTGCTACTAGAGTTCTCTCTGGGTCGATAGTGATACATTCATTATTACTCTTTGGGTTTAATTCAACCAGCTGAGAATCCATCTAAATTGGACCCCACATGTCTTTATTTTGTCCACAAAGATATTACAAGATTCTTTGTCAAATCCAGACAAGCTATATTTATTGCAATTCCATGATTTATCAATCTAATAATCTTGTTTAAAAAAAAAGGAAATGAAGTTACTTTGGAATGCCTTGCTCTCAGTGAACGTGTACTGGTTCCTAGCGATCTGCTTTCTCTTTCTGAAAGTTCACAAATCATCTGTTTAATTCCTTGTTCTAGAATTTTGTAGGGGATTGAAATCTAGCTGACTGGTTTCTGGTTTCTGGTATTTATCATTGTTCTCTTTCCTTTGGTCCATTGCTGGCCTCTTGCTTTTTTTTTTTCTTGCAAAAATTATCAACAATTGCCCTGTGATCATATCTGCCTGTTCCTGGTATGCTGGAGCTGGATGGAATGTAAGGTTACCTTGTTCAACCCCTTCATTTTACATATGAAGTAACTGGGGCATAGAAAGATCCAATGACTTGCTTCAAATCCTCTAGCTAGTTAGTGGCAGAACCATCTCTAGAATCTAAATCTCCTGATTATCAGTTCAGGTCTTTCCACTTCACTGTTGCTCCCTTTTCATTCAGCACCATCAGTAACAATTTGGTTGGGTCTGGATAGTTTAATATTCAAAGTAATTAGGTGCTCCCTTATCTCTCCATCTATCTTGGGCATCAAATCTCCTTCTAGGGTGTTTGACTTGCTGTTTTCTGGTTTGAACATCCATCTACCTGATCAAGAAGATGGAAGAAATGGGGTCAAGTACTTCTCTTTTATCACTGGTTAGCATTACACCATTTGCCCCAGTCAGTGGGCCTTCCCCTTCCTTGTTCATCAACTTGCTGTGCATGTAGGTGTGTGTGTCTATAGTATATGTATATATTTGCATGTATGTATGTGCCTGTTTTATTTTCTTAACATGTTTCACAGGTTTCAGTTCATTCTGGGCTTCCTGATTGTTCTTATATGTTCATATCACTCTTTTGTATTCTTTCTTCGTCATATGACTTTTCTTTCATTTTTCATGTATGTCTTTTTAAAAACATGAGTTCATCTAAGATTCTCTGTGCAGTTATAGAACATTCATTAGATGCTTCTCCCTTCTTTTTTAGAGACTCCCATTCCTCATGGGCCTTATTTCACACTCTTCTTCTTCATACATTCAGTATTCCTGCTAACCATTCCCTTAATTTCATGATGTAATCTCTTGCCTCTGTGCTTTTGCCAGGCTATTGCCCATGCTGGGGATGCACTGTTACCATCACTCTGGAAATTAGAATTTTCTCTTGCCTTTGAGGTGAGGTATAGGTCAGGTGCCACCAGAAGGCCATTCCAAATGTCTTTCTGTTTGACCTATTCTATACAATTATCTCACTCTTGCATGTTAGCACAACCAGTTCGGGTACAAGTGAAATTAGTAGTTTAACTAATAATTAGTCCCGCTATTACTGTATGGGGAGAGTTTTTAGCTGAGATGTTTGAAGAGAAAGTATAATGACCACTACTGACGGATTGTAAGGTTGGTCCTATTATGCTTGGGTTGATCTGGCTATTGGCAGAGAGAGAGGTTCAGTTTCAAGTAAGTTTCCTAGGTCTCAGGAAGGGTCCTGCTGCATTTTCTAGGTCTCTCATAGAGATTTCTTCATATGGGTGTTTTACTTTGTGTCGTAGCCAATTCACTGGCCAGTGAAAAAGCAGACTGGAGGTGTAATTGTGTTATCTTCTAGGGGAAAGGGAGGAAGAAGAAGAGGCTTACTGTCTGCCCCACCCCCAAGAACTGGGTCCATTTACCATGAAGGGCTAGTGTGTGATGACAAGACAAGTCAAATACAACGAGGCTACATATCTAATATTGTGATTGACTGAGATTCTTCCCTGTCATCATAGGGTTATGTTTGAAAAACCCAGCTATAACATTTGTGTAATAATTTTTCAGTTATGTGTTTTATTCCCCTACTAGACTGTAAACTCCTGGAGAACAAGGATTATAAATCTTGATTTTTGTGGCCTTGAACATGGAAAGCACTTAGTGTCTTTTGCACCCCTTCTAGCTTGAGCTCTATGTATGACTCTAAGACTCAAATTGAATTGAACCCATATCCCTTTTAGAGTTTTTGGTCATAAACCCCTACCTATCTTGCATCTGAACTTGATTATCCAGTATTCATTCAACAAGCATTTATCAAGTACGTAATCTATTACAGATGAGAGGCAGCATAGCTTAATGGATTGGGGCTGGCTTTAGAGCCCCGAGATGACCTGCATTTGAGTTCTACTTCTGACTCATACAAGCTGTATGACCTTGGGCAAGTAGTTTAACTTCTTCGCACCCAAGGCTATCTCTAAGACTATAACGGCAGAATAAGTGCTGACTGCCTTGACAGAGGGAATTTCTTTACCCAGAGTACCCTTTACTAATGAAAACAGAAGTCCAGCCAAAAAATAAAAATAAAGTGTCAATTACTGTGCTAGACCTTAGGGATACAAACAGAAGACCAAACAAATTCTGGCCCTAAGGAGTTTACATTTTATTGTTGAAAGCTGTTATTCTCAAATCTAGAGAACATGTCTGATTATGCCTGGTATATGTCTTTCCTTTCTTAGCTCTTATGAACTCTAAAATGGCATGGTCCCAATCTCCATAAGTTTCCATGCCTTCCATATCACTAATGGCTTTTCTTAGAGATCGAAGTGTTAGCAAGACAAGTAAAAAAGTTACCATTTCAGTCTAATGGAACTTCTAGCAGATGTCAGGAGAGTTGAAACCCCCATTATTAATATGGACTAGATTTATAATCTAGGTTGGAGAAGAGACAGCCTGGCATCATGGCTAAAGGCTTGGCCTTGGAGGCAATAAGACCTGGGTTCAAGTCCTGCCACTAAAACATACTGTGTGATTGTTAGCAAATTAGAACCTCTCAGAGCATGATGCAATTAGAAGTGACAGAGAAGCTGCTGATGTGTTCAGTGGAGGGAGTTTCCATAACAGGGAACTCTTTTATAGAAAAGCATCTTCAATTGTCTCCATTTGGCTTGGTAGTCTACAGTATACTCCCACAATGATATCCTTTCTCTTTTACTTCTCTTTTTATCCCTATCCAAATTCTCTAACCACACTCCCTATGTCAGATTGATGGATTTCCATGCCTTCTTGAGATGCAGTGCTACCCCCACCCATCCCGACTACAGTCAGATCTGTTGCTTTTTGAGTAAGGCATCTCTTTCCATTCTCCCATTGCCACACTCTATACACCAAGTCTCATGAGATTATACTTACCATGTTATGTTAAAATTTCTTATTGACTTTGTAACCCATACTCTGTGCCTTGGTATATAGACATCTTAGAACGTGAACATTATTTCCAAACTAGCTTCTTTGTTACATTCCTCCAAGAACCGAGCACCACCTCTGCTATACTGCTTCTTTCTACATCACACATGTTCTTCTGCATAATATCCAGTTTTACAGCTTTGTCTGGACCTTTTTCTCCCTCCCACTCAAATTTCTGCTTAATGACTGCTTAATGTTTGGTAGGTCTTAGAGCTGTGCACCAGCCACATACTCTCCAGTCCTCATGTGGTGTTCTCTGCCTCTTACCAGACAGGCAGCATGGTGTAATAGAAAGAACATTGGTTTCAGAGTCAGGAGCCCTGGATTTGAGTCCCAGCTCTGATACTTATTAGCTGTGCAGCCCTGAGCAAGTCATTTACCCTTTTTGAGCCTCAGTTTCCTCATCTGTAAAATAGGGACAATCACACTTGCTGTTGGGAGGAAAGTGCTTTGCAAACCTTCAAACACTATAAATGTGAGCTGTTATTATTATTATTATTAATTATTATTAGTTATTGCCAGGAGCTCACCTTTCTGGTTTCCATGGCAATGATCCAGAAAAACAAATCCTGTTCTTTGACACCATCTATATAGCCAGCTATTTACTTCCCTCGTCCTCCTTTCACGTCCATAGTCATGACCTTCAAATGAAAGAAGAGATGAGTCACAGAATCTTAGAACTGTAAGGGACCTTAGAGATCATCTAGTTCAACCCCCTCATTTGACAGATGAGGAAGTTGAGGCCAAGAGACAGGAAGTGAATTGCCCAAGGTCACTCAGCATGTGGCAGGTCCAGGACTTGAACCCATGTGTCATAACTCCAGCTCTAGTGGTCTTTCCACTACACCATAAAATATTTGCCCTCTCCAGGCCATCCTTCATATTGCTGTGTCCCCCAGACTTTTGTTTGCTAACCAAAACTTCAAAGTATCTAGAGATGCAGTTCAAATTTGTTTTCTTTTCTTTTTTTGTGATGGCATCATTTATTCCCATGTGCATCAACAGAAGTGGACAGTGATGAAGGATTCTCTCCACCATCTCATGGATACATCGTCTGGGAAGACAGCACACATCCTGATTAACATGTCAGGTTTACATACCTGTGTGCCCTTCTTCGGGGAATCAGCAATTACAGGGATACATCTCTTCTTTGTGAGTGAGGTCACAGGATTCCACCCACTTACCGGTGCCTGTGAATCCTCTTGAGAGTTTTAAGACGTTTCTTCTTCAGAATGTCTAGAATCACCCTTTCCAAGAGGAGCTTAGTTGCACTGTGTTTTCTCCTTCATTTCCCTCCAGTGCACATCACCCACTTTCACTCCCTCTGAATATTTTTCTTTCCCACCCAAAGTCTTTCTGATAACAACCTTTCTGATAAATCAGGTTTATCAGAAGTAGAGAGGTGGGCTTCACATGCATTCACTTTCCCCCTCAGCCAAGAGACTTTTTTATTTGCATGGTTAATTGGTGACTGTCTCTGGTGGGAGCATAAACATAGCCCCTACCCTGCAGGTCACTGCAACTGTTCCCTTGTCTTCTGAGTTCCTTTCTATCTAGATGAACCAGTCACCCTGCTTAGCCACCCCCTTCCCCCACCCCCACCTACCTGTTTCTGCTTCTGTTCATGCAGCTCCTGGGATGATGACTCTCTGGAAAAGCATTGCTTTGAAACCTGCTAAACCCCACTCCTCTAGCTGGTAACTTGCTAACTCATTGAATGTTAGAAATTAGCAAGTTTTTAACCACTCCCTCTTAGACGCAAGACAGCACCCAAGAAGACACTTCTTTCTTTCCTCACACACTCAACGCACAAGCATAAACAGTTTTAGCATTCCCATTTTTTAAAAACTATTCACAATTTGGGGATGGGTGGGCTGGGCTGTCCTCGTTTATGTCATTAGTTTAATTCTCCATACTATATGGTATATATATATATATATATATATATATATATATATATATATATATATATACACACATATACACACACACACACACACACATATAATTATATATGGCATATATACTCCATATATGATACATGGTATATATACTACATATACTATATATGGTGGATATGAATGAGTGTGTTGGTGTGTGTACACACATTTATACTCCATAAACTACAAATATATGACTGCTTCTCAGGCTCTTTTGCTGGCTCCTCATCCTTATTTGACCTCCCAAATGTTGGTGTTCATCCAGCCTTTGTCCTCAGGCTTCTTCCTTCTTTATCTCTCCCCATGTTTCTTTGATGATCTCATCCACTCCCATGGCTTCAATGATCACCTCTATGTAGATGGCTCCCAAATCTCTATATGTATTTACAATATCTCCCAAGAGCCTCGGTCTTGCATCATTAACTGCCTGCTGTTCGTGTCCTCTTAGTTCTATCCTTGTACATCCTAAAATGAATTCATCAGCTTTCCTCATCAACATGCCCTTCTTTCCAGCTTCTCTATTTGTGCCCACATAGGACTTTCTCCCCTGCACCACTTCATTCATGGCAGCTAGGTGGTATGGTGGGTAGAGCACTAGGGCTGGAGTCAGGAAACCTTGAGTTCAAATCTAGCTTTGTACACTTAACTCTGTGACCCTGGGAAAGTCACTTAATCTCTGTCTTGCCTCAGTTTCCTCAACTGTAAAATGAGTATTATAAAAATAGCACCTACCTGACAGGGTTGTTTTGAGGATCAAATGAGGTAATATTTGTGAAGCACTTAGCACCATGTCTGGCACATAGTAGGCACTTAATATGTGCTTATTCCTTACTTCTTTCCAGTTACCCAGGCTTGAAAGTTTGTAGTTCTTTTAACTCTTCCTGCTCCTTTGACCAATCAGGCACCAAATCTTGTTAATTCTTCCTTTACAATGTTTCTCATCTCTTGTTTGCCTCTTTTCTTTTCTTGACAGTCTCTCAGCCCCTGCACCCTCAGGCGAATGTCTTCTGTATCTAGACAGCCTTAGCTATGTTCTACCTTACACCCATCTTCCTTTTTCACCAGCCTCTTTATTATCCAGTGTACACCCTACCCTATTCCCTTTCCAGTTCTGGAACCATAACCAGATCATTACTGTCATTGTTACTGGAAAGTGTCTGTCAATCTACTCTTCTATGACTCCACTTATCATCCCTGTAATTTTCCAAATTAAAATACTGACCATTAGCCTGTATGTGTTTTGTCCCCTTATATATGTTGCCTCCATAGACTCTGAGTTCCTTGAGGGCACAGACTATTTCTACTTCTGTATTTGTAACCCCCCCTTGGCCCCCCACCCCCAGCTTAGCACAGTGCTTGGCATGTGTATGAAATGCTTAATAAATGCCTTTTCACTCATTTATTCATTCTACTCACACTACCACTAGACTAATTCATGCTCTCTTCACCTCTTGCATGGTTTGTGGTCAGAGCTTCCTAACTGGTCTCGATGCCCCTAGTTTCTTCCTTCTTCAGTCTATTCTTCACACTGCTACAAAAATAATCATTGTCATTCACAAGTCTAACAATGCCACTCCTTTGCTAAATAAACCAAGACAAAGCCCATCACTGTCTCCCTGCTGCCTATAGGATAAAACACAAACTCAGCCTGGCACTTGAAGTCCTTCCAAACTCGGCTCTAACCTGCCTTTCTGCCTCATTTTTGTGTTGTTTTCCTTATTCAGTCTTTGCTACAGACAAGCTGGACTCTCTGATATTATCCTGCCCTTTTCCACCACTGTCATTCATCCAGGCCCCTCTCAGGAACTATAAAAGCACTTCTTCCTCATCTCTATTTGTTTGAATCCTTACCGTTCAAGGCTCTGTTCTGGTGCCACCTTCTTCATGAAGTCTTCCCTGATCCAATTAAAAAGAATTTCTCCCCAGCCCACCACCAATTTTCCTGAAGAATTTGTCTGGATCCCTGTCTTTGCCTCTATTAATTCTACTTATACTTATTTGTATATGTGACCTATGCTACTCCTGTACCCCAAGTAGATTGCAGTCTTTGAGGGCAGGAGCTATGTTATTTTTCATCTTTCTATATTTGTTATTTTCTTCAATGTGCCTTGTACATTGTAGGTTCTTAATATATGTTTGTTGAGTTGAACTGAATAGTGTAGTGGAAACTGGTTTGGGAAGTCTAGGTTCTGTTTTCAAATGATGCCACTGACATATTGAATGGTCTTTGGTAAGTCACTTAATTTCTCTGAGCCTCAGTTTTTCTCTAAAATGGGGATACTTACCCCCATTCTGTCCACCTAAAGGGAATAGTGTGAGGATTGATTTAGAGAGTGAATATGAAAGAGTTTTGTGAAACATGTGCTATAATAATGACAGTTATAATAAACATGTTAAAATGTTCTCCAAGCCCCATCTTCCTTTTCAAACCTAGCCTACCCTCTTTTTTTCAATGTGGACTTTCCACTCTAGCCAAGCTAATTCATTTCTGCCTTTATACCTTTATTCATTTCATTCTCCCTCCCTCAAATATTCAGCTCTTACTCTCTGTTTAGTTATGATGTAGTAGAAAGACCAATGGGCCGTGCATCAAAATGCCTAGGTTTTGGTCCCACTTTGGCCATTAACCAACTTGAGCAAGTCACTTAAAGTCTCTGGGCCTCAGTTTCCTCATTGAAAAAATGAGGGGGTTGGACCAGATTAAAAATCTGGCTCAGCTCTAAAATCCTATGATCTAAATCCTAGTTATCATTTAGGATCCATCTCAAGTCTGCCTCCTTCAGATCACACTGTTCTCTCCTTCTTTTGATCCTTTACAATACCTTGTGAACCATACAACTTTGTTCTTAATCACACACTGCCCTATATTTGTCTCAGATTGTTTTAGAGGTATTAGTCTTATCTTCTCATCTAGACTGGGAGCTCCCAAACAGGCAAAGATAATTTCCCTTTCTCTCCTCTTCTCTACAGCCCAGTCTAGCACAGACTGAGTACCTGGCAAGTACCTAGTGAATGATGATGAATGAGTCAACTGGATGGAATGAGCACAGGAGAGGGACTCATCAAACCAGAGGAGGTCCTCTGAGATACCTTAAGAGGTTTCTAGATCTAGATCTGGAAAAGACACAAGCAGTTATCTAGCTTAACCCTTTATTTTTGTAGATGAGGTAATGGGGAAGGACACAAAGGTTAAATGATTTTCCTAAGGTCACACTTGGTATAGCTGAGGTTCGAACTCAAGTCCTCTGTCTTTAATGTCCAATGCCCTCTCTACTGTGCTACATAAAATCCCTCTGATGACTTGTTGGATTTATTGTAGATGGGATTCTTGGGCAAGTTTAGATTCAGGCTCTGAGATCTCTTAGGATCTTTCAGGTTCAGTGAGGAAGAAGACCTGAGGCTGAGCTGATCCGCTGCATGATCATGTGTCCAGCTCTCCCCCTCTGTACTAATTCCCTTGCCTCCTCCAAAGTTCCTGATAGCCTTATGTGCCTTTCCTAGCCAGGATCAAGGATTCAGGAGTTCACCAAGAACATTTTGTTCTAGTGGGCATTAGCCTGAAATCAGAATCAGTGAATGAGACAGCAACAGGAAGAGGGAGCTGAAATAGGAGAGACAAATGGGCAAATGCCAAGAAGGTAAAGACAAAGGGGTGGAGATTGAGAATTAAAAATATCCCTTTCTCTTGTTCATATGAACAG